CCTGACGCGGGAGATCAATTTCCTTCGCACTACCCCTCCCATTTGAAATAAACCCTTCATCATCATCAATCCATCAACGTATGGAAGGAAATAAGATGCAATTGCCCCTCACCACAGGACCGGAACACATGTCCCTCCCTCTCATATATCCGAAAGGTTTACCGTCCCTTTCTTCGCTCATCCATATATACTTCACGTGCCATTTTCATGCAAGTAAAGGCACTGCCCTTATTCTTTTAATTTACGAGATTAATTTAAATTTTAATTTAAATTTTAATTTAATTTTAATTAACGAGATTTACTATTAGAAAATGAACACCCCCTTGGGATTCTCCTTTCTCACCGCCGTACCAGCTTTTCAATGAAACCGGAGAGGAAGTGTTTTCTGCTGTTCCTTGAACAAACTGTACATGTCACTCTTCCCCGCGTCGTCAGATCTGAATCGGTAACCCTTCGGTGCATTTGCATGCGGGGGGGAAATATGACATCCGGATGGGGCTCGGTGAGGTCTTCATTGGGTGTGAGATAGCAGGAGGAACTTTTTAACGGGGCATTCGCTTTGCTTGCTTTCGGACGGGAAAGTCCGCTTCTCTTCAAGAAGGCCCATCGGGTCTTCAGAGTTTCATGGCAGATTTCGAATTGAACATCGGCACGACGCAGTACGTTGCGTTCATGAATGTACTAATATAATTGAACTCTGCGAAAACTGTCCCGTCGTGTACCAAAATTCCTGGTATCGACACCTCAGCTGAAATCACCTACTAATGCGTGGTTTGTGAATCTAGGTGCTTCTATTTGGTGCTCAGACTCATTCTTTCTGGTTCAAAATTATGCGCTCAACCTCCCCATGTGCTCTGAATGCGCTCGAATGAAGGAAGCGTTTCCTTCCGTGGGGAATCAAGCGAGGAGTTTCTGATGAAGAACCAATACGCTCATTAGCACCTCTTCCCCTACCTCATCCTTTCTTTTTTATTACATCCTCTACTCCGCCTCTCCAGGGGAATTTTCGGGGGAGACAATCACGCGAATATTAAATTAGCTATCGTTCTTCTAGGATTACCCTGCGGGCTCAAGTTTTCTCCCCCTAGGTTGATGGATATCTTGCTAAAGTGAAGTCGGATTCATGACCGCTTTGGTTTTCACATCGGTGTCTGGATAATCTTTTTTTTTACTGAAATGTTGTATTATGCATTTTCGTGCTACATTCACGAGATGAAATGAGATCGATGCAGTTATAGTGATGCAGTGATGGTGATTTGGATTGGCCGATCGACGTGGTGGAATAAGGGCACATCGTGCACATACGTCCCTCACTTAACGGGGTGGCGTCCAACATGAACTCGAATTGATAAAACATTCTATCGGAAAATCTTGTCAGAAGGGGTTCGAGAAATTCCAGATGAGGATAACGTCGTGGGTCCTCTGCAATGTGTCGAGAAAATCAGTAGAGGCTCTTACTTATCTTGCCGAACGTTACTCATCATCGTGGAGATTTCTCGTAAACTCCAAGATTTACCCTCATAGGCCAAATTGGCTCGGTAGCGAAGGATTCAGATTCCTCTGAATGAAAATAGGTCGGTCTGGACTAGACCTGAAGACATTCCGGCCATTAGACCATAGCTTAAGTTTAAAGGTTCACGTGGGAAAGAGGGTTGATGAATGGGTAAAGTTATCGAAAAATGGTTTTCATACAATTTCATGAACGTTGTTTTTGTACTAATCGGTCAAAATATTGCGTTTTCGATATGGCAGTCAGCAAGTCATGGCACGCATAGGTCCACGACTGATGCCGACAGTATTGACGATCTTGCTGACGATCTTTGGTCAACGTGAATCGACCAAAATCACGGTAGTCGCAGGATCAACGTCCGTAACTATCAATCATCAAGAGATTATTCTCGTCTCATTGTAGAACTTTTCCGCCCACTTTTTGCCGATCCATGGAATAATAATCTCTATATAGCCGAAATTATAGGTTTATTTCCGAGGGCTTTACAAATGTATAAATCGTTCAACTGAGGGCTACTCCTCTTGGACACAAATGCTCCCAAGTCATACTTTCAATGCTCATTGAAACGATTATATTAGAGGCATCTAGCTGATTAGGTTGAAATTTAGGATCATTAAAGGAAAATTACGTTTCAATGTCGTGCCTAAATGTACTAATTTATTTTGCTCACTTCAGGGCATATGCACAAACGAGAACCTTTATTACGTGACGTTCCCACGTTGGTTGGAACACTCTTCTTTCTCATCGATAGCCCTCAAAAAAATAGAATTTGCTTCTCAATTGTTGCAGAAACGAGGTTCTACATGTTTCCACAGGAGTGAATAGTTCTATTTGCTTTACACGGAAAATATAAAGGATTCACTGATTTTTTTTCTCACGTAAGAATCGGAGCATATCTTATTCACTTAGAATGACTGCTGTACGTGGAGCAAGTCTAGTCCCCGAAAGAACCACGTTTAATCCGCAAAGACCAGAATGTCATACTCATATATAAGTCCCATTGGTCATACTTGGGCCTCCTTCCTCTCCATTCCGTTTCCGCCAAAAAAAAGCAGGTATGAGGTCTAAGGAAGTCAATGGATTTTGAGAAGCCATAGGAAATAGCTATCCATTAAGGGCTCATGTCACCATTGAAGTCCTCTCAGGGCCTGGATCAACTAAACTTTGTTAATGGAATTTCTTTGTAGTTCATGAGGTGCCACTAAGTCCGCTTACAGGACAGTAAAGGAATGTCTCAGCATGATAGACTGTGATTAGGTTGTGGCGCCACTGCCAAGCGGGCACCCTCTTCCTCTGCGTGTCATGATACGTCAGTTGTCATCTGTGTCCGCCGCATTTCCTATAACTCTCCCATTGCCAGCAGACATGCGACAGGTCGCAGGTTTATAACTTGCCTTGTCCAATCACCGAAGTAGTTGTGTCTCTTTAATAAGCTTCAGATTTTACTGCATCGCCGTTTGCTCTATTTTACAATAATTCACTAATCAGGAACACAGATCGATCGCTGCGTTCCGATTTCGAGTCGGTGGACAATCATTGAATCGCGAAAATGCGTTCACTTAATGAGAACAACTGTTCGTTCAACTCTAAATAAATACAACTATTGGAAGCTGTCAACCGTGTGAAAAAAGCAAGCATATTAAAGAATTGCGCGACTTGATTGCCTTCTCGGTATAATAAACACACAGATTGTATACATAGTGTACTCGATGACACACACAGTCATGAAGGCTCTGCGCTCAGGCTTTCATCCGTCCATATCATCACCACTTGTGGATTGGCCCATGTCGCAAATGAGCTCAGGATTGGGTCGTCAGGAGAAGCCTTTTGTTCTATTCTGCCGTTGGGAAGGAGATATCCGAGGCTTCGTGAGTATTCATTTCCTCTGTTTATCTTCTACGAGAGATTTATATATCAGGGAGAAGTGTGCCAAGGTTGTATAGGGATATAATTCAACCAGCTGTCCCATGGAAAACTTCCACGAATTCCTAGGCAAGAACTCTCGGCTTTCATCCGCGCCCTAAAACTCAGTGGCCCTCTCGTCGCTGCAGACAGCAGACCGTCATTCGTAATCTTTATAGGTCCCCGCGTACAACCCTCGGAGTCCTCTTTCATCCCGCTGAAGGAAGGATGATTTCTTCGCCGGTGCGAGATCTTCGCCTTTACAATTATCGGAATTCCGACCCGTTTATCGATCGGCACTTTTTCCTATCGATCACAACACTGTCCGCTTCGTCGTAAAGCCCATCTTCATCACTTTTTATGTAACCTATGAACGAAATATACGGATAAGGAAACGGGATGGTTACGACACGACAGGCGGAATCTTTGCTATCCAAGGATAAACCTTTCTCTTCTATCCCATCCAGATAGCATCCCGTCGTTTTCACGCTCGAGAGTTACTCTACTTCGAGCAGAGGAACATGGGACTGAAAGTGTTACACGAGGATTTTCCCGCGTGAAAGTTCATAATTGAGGTGCGAACATCACTTAGTTGGGGGGGGGGGAGTTGTGCAAGGCGTACAATGACTCTCTTTCCCATTCTCAAGAACGGATCCGACAGTCGCAAAGGCAGGGGAGAACATGCGATCTCGAGAGCGGGAGCCGGGCACTCCAACAGACGGGGTTCTATTAACTGTTTCTCGGGAATTCACGAGCTCAATCAACAGCCCTAAAACTCAGCGGCCCTCTCAATGATATAATCAGCAGCCCCTCTCCCCCGTTCTCGAGAATGATCTCTAGAAGACTTCCACGAACTTTGGGTCGGTCTAGGCCAGGGTGTCAAACTGCCGGCTAACTACTTGATTTCTTCCGGTATGCAAAAACCCTCTTCAATAGTTGCTCTTGGAAAAGTATAGACTTTCTCAACCCTGTTATTAATTGAGACTTTGGTGTAAGATTTGCCAATGTGGACCCAACCACTCCTGAAGGGTGCCATGAGGCCGCCAGCTTAATCAAGTTTGACATATCTAACCTAGGCTAAGTGTGTAATGGGTCGGGTCTTTTTTGCTAGCGGCTTATCTCTCTAGCAAGGCTCCCAGCATCTGATGACGTCATTTTAAGGCTTAGCTTCTCAGCGTTCACATAGTTCGCTACGTTCCGCTCGCAGCTGCTTGCCCAATATTGACATCATTCAACGACGTGGTCGTGCCTATCCAACGCGACTTTTTCACCAGTAGCTGCTAGCACCGGGAGAATAAGACGCACCCATGTAGTCAGGGTCAAAAGGAATTGTGAGGCCTGGGGCAATATTCACGGAAGGGCCCCCTTTCCCCTCTTCCCCCCCCCCCCCCCCCCCCAACAGCTTCAGTAGAATGAGTCAACTCCTCATTGCTAAGGATCGCTACGCTATTAAACACTAATACGTATAGCATCCAGTGTGGGGCCCCCAGGCAAGAGACATGGGGGATATTGCCCCATTTGCCCCCCCCTTCCTACGGTCGTGAACATAGTTGGGAATCCCCGCATTGAGTCAGCACTTGAACAATCTATGCGGCAGCTGCTCCCTCTCCCGTTCACGAGGACGAATCCAAATAGTCGCGAAGACTCAAAAGAAACTGCCAGCTCAAAAGCTAGATGGAAACCCAAGCCGGGGAAGACATTCACGAACTCCGGGTTGGCTAAGGCTAAGCGTATAGCATTTCCCGAGTTCAGTCGGCAACCCTATCAAAGATCCACGCAGCAGCGGCTCGGACATTGTACGTCTTGCTCATCCGCCCCCCCCCCCTTTCCCAAGGGGGTATTCACGCCTACGATAAGGACTTTTAATGAAGGACTTTTAATGAGTAGCACTGGTATCCAAAATTGATCGCAACCCTGTGCGTATCGTCCGTAAAGTCTATCTCCACCACTACTCATGAAGGCCAGTGAATGAAAAACACGGATAGAGAAACGCGATGGTTACTACGCAGCCGACATCGTCTTTTCCATCCAAGTGTAAGCGCTCGTGTTCCATGCGGGTGGGATCCCGCCGTTTTCACCCTCGAGAGTCACTCTCCTTGTGAGAGTGCCGATCTGATGTGAGGACGGGGTTCGATTGATAAAAGGGCTCGGGAACCCGATAAATACTTGGATGGAGATCTCATCCAAGCGAAGAAGTCATCCTTCCTCCAGGAATGAAAGTGGACTCCCAAGTGTAATACGCGGGACGTTTGACACGCCTCTGCGGAAAAGTCCGCATTGGATGTGTGAACACCCCTTTATTGGGAGGGCGGGGTGTGCATAGAATGCCTCTTTCTCTTATGTTGTAGTCTTAGGTATGGCATGGAGAATGACTGCTGAAAATCTACAGTTCGGTGGAGTAATGGTATCACGCTTGACCGACAATGGGGAGGTACCGGTTTACATTCTCTCCCGCTCCATCGTTTTCTTTCGTCCTCTTTTGCCATACGAGCTTCCCCCTCCCCCACACCCCTCCGGCCATTAAGTTCTCAAGACAGTTGCAAACTTCGAAAAAAGTGCGAGCCCGAGAGAGGGAGACGTACACTCGGAGGCATGCAGAAGGCGCCCCATAAGCGCACATGGACTTGAGGACATACAGATGCCCAAGCATGATAAGTTATATACTGTATATAGATGCCATACTGGTTAAATTATCAGTCGGGCCCCTTCACTTTCAATTTTTTTTTAATATATGCAACAAAATAGTGCAGAACAGAGTCATGTCATGCTACACAAAGCAACGAAAATTTTCTAAAAAAACGTCAAGGTTCAAGAAAAAACATGCCAAATATGTGATGCACAGTATGGGGTAAAGCCCTCCAAGTAAGGCCAGAATAACCTACAATGTTACAAAACCAAGCTCTTTGTAAGCTCTCCCTAAGAAGGTTTTTGTCTGCTAGGACGTGCTGTTTCTGACGGTTGCCTCGCGATTTATTAGTTCACTTGATTGCAATTTAATTAAAGGAAGTTTCTTTACTTTGCCCCTTACAAAGTGCCTACCTAGCCCTTCGCGGCTGAACGAGAGGTGGGTGGCAGAGGAATAGGAGACTGATTTGAAACTAGATGTATGTCGCCCAATGTAGATATAGAACCAGGTGGAATTTCCTCTAGCAGGCGAATTTCCTACAAGAGGGATATCTACCCGATTCCAAATCCACATGAATGAGTTGATGGACGTTTTGCAGGGGGCGAAGTCCGAAATGCTGCTACCCTTAGTCTGATGCTAAGATGCAATTTAATTTTTCATGTTGCAATACATGCGCGGGGTATCAGTTCTTGCACCTAGACGTGGCATTTTCCGAGTCATCACGGTATTTTGAGATGTTCTCCCTGTAATCTCACAGGGACGATATATCCCTGGGATCACTTGGCTTATTTACATACCTATTTCTACTTAGTTTGAATTGCCCTCTGCCATCTAAGTTTCATTTTATTCGAACAGGTTCCTTCAGAATCATACTGCATATCAATGTGAGGTCCCAAAAGCGACGATCTCGGAGGACACAACGTTGACCTTTCCCCGAACCTCCCTGTCATCTTCCAACCTCGAATCCCACGATGTTCCCAGGGTATGCACTTCCCTTTCTCTCTCTATTTTCCTTGGTGTTCAGGGAAACCAAGGCGACTTGTCCCACCGAAAGCATATGGCCCTGCACTTGCTCCACTGATCATGAAAGCGACTACATGAATCGTTGGGAAGATTGGAATGGTCATGTGAGAGTGGATTGCTCGAATGCCATGGAAAGTGGGGAGATTTTATCTGCCTTGAGGAACGCGAAATGGCCCTCCACGCAACTTTGGTGAGAACCCTCTTCTCCGCATTCTCTGCTCACTGCCGTTTATAAGTCGTTAAGTGGTAAATTCAAGCACACACGGAGGAAGGGCTGCTACTCCTGCCTGGATGCGTGAGATCGCACTAGGAACCCGCATTTAACTAATGTGATTTTGTCTTCTGGTTACAGAATAATATACTCCTGATTTATCTGATGATTTTCAGGATGACGTGATAGATTGAGTATTCATGCCATTGTTGGTATTACCTCTATGCTAACGTATATTTTCTTACTGAAAAGAGAATGTCCTAACTGGGGCAAGGGCCTTTTGAGGAGTGATACTGACCTAAATATAAAGTGCCAATAAAGAAATTGAAGTGGAAGAGAGTTACGGGAAAAAAAAATTAATGATTGCACTTCCCAGATCAGGAGCAGGAAACTAAAGAACGCATATTCCTTACACTCAACTTGTATTATGACCTCTGGTGCAAGAATGAGATCCTGGACTGACGATGTGATTGCGGATTTCGTGCGTCGTCACCCAAAAAAGACAAATCGTTTTATTCATTCTCGTGGGTAAAAAATGTCTCATATTGCATCTATGATAGAATGAGGGGTTTCTTCTCATTCCTCCTTCTCCCTTCGGGATTCCAGTCGAACAAGACAAGAAGGCATCAAAATATATTATACATTTCAGACCCTAATTTGACATCCACAAGAAGCTGAAGAGTGTAGGATATAAACATGTGAGATTTTTTGTAAAAAAAATTATAGACTTTAAAAAGTGAACCCAAATTGATTGGACCACCATGTGGTTATATATATATGTGCAGAGTGAAGAGATTCCCTCGAAAAACAATCTGGGGCAGCCGAGATACTGCGAGCGATGAATCGACTCACACAGACATCAAGGCAAAATGTATGGAGGTATAAACATAGGATGTCCATCCGCAGCGGACCCCTAGCCTAAGTGGACTGAAGCAACTGAAGAACTACGAAGAAGCCACCAAAAAATAGAAAGAAAGCGAAACTAGCCTGAAGTGCCAGCAAGCCGTGCAGGGGTCTCGTCAGGGGCACGACCCTGCCATCAGCTTGCAGTGCAGCCTGACCCTTTTCGACATCTCCGCACTAGGAATGAAAAAGAGTAAGAAGAGGAACAGTTTCTGCCCGAACAGAGAGCAGATGAGGGCGTCCACAGCTTAAGTCTCTCTCACATTCACCACAAAATCACAAATCATTAGCTGATTAAGTTTCGCACCTATGCTACTCATTAGCAGCCAGTGTATTGTGTTCTATGAATGTGGAGACGGCGATGCTCAGGTAACCAACATCCCACTCAATGTTGCGCAGTAAGAAGTTTTTCCTAGTGCGGAGATCCGTGCCCAAAGGGTCTCACCACGTACCTAGACTCATAAGATTATGAGTCTGGGGACGTGGTGAGACCCTTTATTGGAAAAAGACCCTATCTTGGGAAAGCGCATAGGACTATAAATACAGTACAGCAAGGCTAGACAGACAGAAAGGGCACAAAAAGTGTGACGCACAAAGCACAAGGACTGGTCAGCAATTGGCACGAAGCCAGGCGATTTTTTCAGGGTCCGCATTGTGCAGTTTCATAAGGCCACTGGGAAGGCCCTCATAGACATCACAGCCGGCCAGAATTTGGGCAGGGTCCTCGACCGCACCACTCGACCTGTGATTTTATTGGAAGAGAGAGATACATGGTCGCCATTAGCAAGCAAAATTAGCACTGAATAAAGTGTATATTCACCGAAATTCATGTATTTCCCAAAACTTGTTTTTCAATGTTTGTCTTTTGAGGAATTCTACTTGGAAGAAAAAAAAACATTAATGATAATTTGAACTGCTTTCTTTTTTAAATACTAAAATCGACAATCACACATGCCTAGCTAGCGTCGGGTGAAGTAGGAGAGGAACACGAACCAGATCTTACTCCTGGAAGTCCTTGTTAATGGTTTCTGTGAGTATTCCATCAATGAAATCGAGACGGGAAAGTCTTTTAAAAATCCTGTCACCAACAAGTCAACCTGTTTCACTATACAGAAAATTACTAAGTATCGTAGCTGGAGAGGAGCGGAGTATTGTTACTGCACTCATGAACCTTTTCAGAAAGTGCGACAGCTCTCACAGTCAGTACTTCCCTTTCGTGGTGTTCAAATAAAAACACAGGATGAAGTTCCACATATTTCACTCATTTGCTTTCCTACATGTATCGAGTACAAAACATTAATCACAGAGAGAAACCTAAGTAAATTTTCATTCGCCTTCATCTTCCTTGCAGGCAATTCTACATGAAGTTCAACAAAGGAGTTGTGGAACTTCCTGAGGGAGTCTTGGGTGACCTTTCCTTCCAATGGATATATGTGTGGGAGACCTCATTGAAGAACATTCATCCGTTGGCCATTCTCCCTTCCAGCAAAAGACTTGTGAATCTCACCATTAAACACAGTCGTTTGAAAGACTTTCCATTTCATAACCTTTCAACATTCGACCACCTCAAAGAACTCAATCTAGATAACAATACCTTGACGTCAGTCCCGGCTCTTCAGAGTGACAGCCTCGAGACACTCATTCTTGCTCACAACAAGATCACTCAACTTGAGGAAAACCGTTGGGCAACGCCCAACTTGCGAAAACTCAACATCATGTCAAATTCATTGACCTCGGTCCCAGCCTTCAAGTTTGATAACCTCGAAATACTCAATCTATCACATAATAAGATAATGCAAGTGAGGGTAAATGGCTGGGCGACTCCCAACTTAATGAATCTTGACCTTTCATTCAATTCACTGACCTTCGTCCCAAGTCTCATGATTGACAGCCTCGAAATACTCTCTCTATCGTCCAACCAGATTAGTCGAGTGGAGGAGAATGGATGGGCAACTCCCAAATTGAGGAAACTCTACCTTAAATCTAATCCATTGACTTCGTTGAAAGCCCTCAAGATGGAGAGCCTTGAGATGCTCTTTCTTTCATTCAATGCGATTGCGAGAGTGGAAACGAATGGATGGGCAACCCCCTGTTTGAGGACTCTACGACTCTACTATGACATGTCGACCTCAGTCCCAGCCGCGAAGAGCGACAGCATAAAGAGACTCAATCTGGAAAAAAGTGAGACTACAGAAGCAGGGGATGACGGATGGATTGTGCCCAACGAGGAGGAACTCGACATACGTGAGTACAGGGCATCTGGTATAATTAATCTAGAAATTTTCTATCGAGCGTGTTTCTTGATAATCCATGTTTTCCACGGAGTTAAAAATTCTCTTCATATTCCACTTAGCCTTATGTATGTGTAGCTTCCAATTGGCTCATGGGACATTTTATAAACCCAGAATAAATATTAAATACAATGGTACAATGGTAATGCGAAATGGAGCCAGCGAAACCAATTTTGAAGACAGCACATGCCGTCATTCAATATTTGCGAACACCCTAGCTATCAGCATAAAAGCACCGTTGACTCTTTAGAGTTGCCGCTCTCCAGTGTATTATACATGTTTTCTTCCGATATATTTACACGTTGAAAATGCATTCAGGATATTCCTGCGTATCGTCATGAGGATATTTACTGTTACTATGAGCAGTACGGAACCATTTTCTGCTCTTAAACGTAACGCGGTCTGAAATATTGGAATGGGTCTTTTCCGATAATACTGAGGGAAAAAAGTTCAATTTCGAAAATGAAAATGATGCATGAAGTGGAATTTATTTTAATTCACCATGAATCTTCTTTATCCATCAGAAGCGTGATACATTGACAACTTGGCATCCCGGAGACACGGGATCTTCAAATATATATTTCATATATGTATACATATTTAATATAGACTAATATTTCTTATTTACAGTTTATAATGGATGAATGACTCACTAAATGTGCACGTTTCTTTCAATTGATTCAATTATTTGAAGCTAAAATACTTATTTTCTACTCTTCTCGTACGTCTGTTTCCGTGTGCAGGCCGCAATCCTCTGTTGGAGTTCCCATTTCCAGTGATAAAGAGCCTGGAGAAACTGGAAGAATTCTCTTGTTCACCATGCAACCTGGGTCCCACTATTTCAAGTGGGCTCTTGAATTTTCAGAGCAATGCATTGAAAAGGGTGTCCCTTGAAAATGGAGGTATCTCACGACTGGAACCAGGAGCCATCACAGGTATAATTTCTCATCCGAGTTTTCGATCATGGAGGTGGTTATGGACCTCTGCACACACCATTTGTTTGATGATTTTTATGATATCTCATGCATTGGTCTCGAGGCGAAGGTAATAGAACTCAGTCATATTTATCGCATATACTATTTTTTCATTCTTTTTTCCCCATTTATGGACAAATGCGTTAGCGAGAGGATGGACAATGGTATAATATGATGGATCCTTCGCAAGTTCACATAATTAGTCCTTTCTTGAAAAGGAGCTCTCCCTCTCTTATTTTCTTGAGAAGTAGATACTGCAAATCATGTCACCTATTTGTTCTAACAGCAGAAACAGTCACTATGCTTCTTCGGCGTGGGGTCCCTTTCATGCAATATTCAATTTTCCGTGTTCATTCCATCCTTGGAATAAGTGGCAAGGTGGTTTCAGAGGGAATGGGAAAAGTTCAGATCCTAAAGCATATCAATTTCTTTACCGCTCCCTTTGTAATGCACATTGGTGTGAATTGCGATGGTGGCGCAGTAAGAATTCGTGAGGACTCTATTCGTGAAAGGTAGTAGTTAACGGGGGCAAAATACCCGTCGAATAGAAGCGTCCTGCGATCGAACAGTCCTTTATTGCTGCTTTCTGCAACGAAGGTAGCTGGTACGAATACGATCGTACGAAGGGCCTTCTTCGAATTCGTATTGTGCTGTGCTAGTGATGGTCGGACGACACGTCCTATCGTGCACGTACCATACAGCTCAAGCAAATGATCCTGAGTCTGAACTTCAGCGGAAAAGTTTACATGTACCTCTTTTCCTCACATTTTTAATTCTCCCAAGAGTGCAGTCGTTCAAAAGGTGATATCATCTGAGCATGATGAACCTCACCTACACTTGTAAATAGACTTGTTTCATGCCTTCTCTGCATGCTTTGATCAGTCCTCCAGAAGCAGGAGACTTCCTTGGTGTTGCAGAAATTAAAACGGAAGTCAGGATATCGAAGTCCTGCCGCAGAAACTGAGGCGGAATTGAGAACAGGGAGTAGGATCATTGCTAAATTTAAATACGGTCAATGAGATGAAAACGTATATTGTATCATATCATACATAGCCGCATTTCAGGGGGTTGTGGGAAAACCCTTCCATGACAACATCAGCTGTAATTAACACATTGGTGACGGGCCCCGAGAAATCTCGTAGTACGCTCGCGAGCGTACTACGAGCTTTCTCGGGGCCCGTCACCAATGTGTTAAGAAAAACTAATTACTATACTTTTTATCATTGCGCGTAAAAGTTCTACATCCATCTTCAGCTTCTGCCTCATGCCTCACGAAACAAGATTACTACAATGAACGAGAGAGATCGACAGATCTTGAAGGTGATGTACCATGCGTTTAAAATACGTGGGAAATACATTTTAAAAAAAACGATAGCTCCTCGCCCAATGTGGCATAGAGGCTAGATGAGGTAAATGTTGCAAACAGAATAAGTTTCGCGAAGACCTTTACCCGTATACGGAGGAAAATCTCTACCTCGATTCCATGGAAGAAGATGCCAATGATATTAGAATTACTTTTGTCCAATTGCAACCGTTTTTTTGAAGAACATTATTATACTATTTAACGTGTGAAGGTTTTGCTTCTTTAAAGTTAGAGTAACATCATGAACTTCCACTGGTTGCCCTCCAAAAGAAAAAGTTCCAAATGAGAGTTGCACTTTCCCAACGTCTATTTCAGGTCTCAGTGCCGACACACGAGTTAGCCTCGCTGGAAATGAGATTACCACAATGAACGAGAGAGTGTTTCAACCGATCTTGAAGGAGATGTCCCAGGGACACGGCTTCCTCGATATAAAGAGTGGGTGTCATGGCTTTTAAGCACTCTGTGCAACTACCCAAGTGTACTCCCCTTTCAAGTTCTTTATGTACGATTTGGTCCTCCCTTGCTCCAGACAATCCCATCCGGTGTGATTCCAGTTTGTCCTGGCTGGCATTCGCTCCTGGATTGCTGAGAAAAGTTCTCGGTTCGTGTGAGGATGGGACCGATTTGAAGGACCCGGATCTGATGGAGTCTTTGAAAGTCATCTCGACGATGGCATGTCCACCACGTCCTCAGTGTCCTGATGGTGAGGAAGGCGTAAGATGCGTCGAGACACAACACGCATGCTTCTGTGAGGGGGGCACTCTCAATATGTCCTTCGCCTGTCCAGAAGTGACGCAATACTGTTGCACCAGTTCTGCTACATCTGTACCACCTTGCCATCCATATGTGAGTCTACGTTCATATTTGACATTGCTTGTCGTAACCCATCCGGAATGAAACCACTTGAATGAGCCCAGAGGAATGATGGTACTATTCAGGGGGAAGAGACCGGTTGCGGACCTCTTGAACCCATCGAGCATGGACACTTCATCATTTTCTCTTGCTCTGAATATGAGAAAAAGTAGGTTAATTTCTCTTTGCT